AAACCAAACTAGGCCAAACACTCCGCCTTCTGGCTTTTGATTTACCTTCTCTCTCTCTCTCTCTCTCTCACACACACACACACACATACACACACACACACACGGCAGGGCGGGGGAGCAAGTTTTCTGTGTGTCTGTGTGTGCACATGCACATTGCGCATGCGCTATATGAAGAAAACCCCGCCTCTTGATGTATCCACATTTGCTGCATTTCATTTGCTTCTTGCTGATCTCTATCACAGCTCACTTTAGCCCCCATCTGTCATTTCACTCTATATTCTCAGCTTTGCATTATCCCCAGTTAGAGAAAATGCCCTCAGTAGTTCCAAGCAACGTTTCGTAAGGTTCTAGGTGTCCTGAGGTGGCCCAAAGGTGGAGGGGTAGGTAAGCAAGAAAGAAAGCTTCTGCAGGTCCAGCCACAGGGCCCACAGAGGCCATGTTCTCCTCAGGGATATGTAGATCACTTCCATCTTTTCTGTTTTATCTTTAAGCTTCCATGAGGACTTTACTGGAAGAGGTGGTTCTACAACTAGGAAGAAAGATTGAGGGCTCGAGGGGATGACTCAGTCACAAAGTGCTTGCAGGAAAGCCTGAGGACCTGAGTTCAATCCCCAGAGCCCATATAAAAAGCCAATATGGCAATCCTTGTGCTGGGAAGGTGGAGACTGGTGGGTTCCGGGGTTTACTGACCAGCTAGGCCAGCCTCATCTGTGAACCCCAGATCCTAGTGACAGATCTTCTATTGCTATGATAAGATGTCCCAAGGAAAGCAACTTAAGTAAGGAAGAGTTTACTTAGTTCATAGTTCCAGGATACAGAACAATGTGGTGAGGATGTCATGGCGGAAGAACCTGGAAGCATCCACAGTCAGAAACCAGAGAAAGGTGAATCTCAGTGCCCAGGTCCCTTTGTCCTTTCTGTTCAGTCTGGGACTTCAGTCTAAGGAGTGGTGCTGCCCACATTTAGGGCAGATTTTCCTGCCCCAGTTGACCTAAACATGATAATCTGTCATAGGCCTGCCCAGAGGCTAGCCTGATCTACAGGATTCTTCTCGGCTGTGCACACAGGGTTACAGTTCTAGATTCTGTCAGGTTGACACTAAGCATTAATCATCACAGAATTTGTCTCAAGAGAAAAGGGGAACAACAAGATGACTCAGAGGGGAAAAGCAGTTGCTACCAAACCTGACTGGTGTTACATCTCCAGGACCCACATGGTGGATGACAGGGGGAACCAATTTCCACAGGTTGTCCTCTGACTGTGAGCTGCGTCACATGTATACACACACACACACACACATACACACACACGTTGAAACAATGAAGAATTGACACATGTTGATACCTAAGATTGCCCATGCATGGGCACACTCATGTATAAAATGGAGTCATAAACATACAAAATGTACATACAAACACACACACATACATAAAAAAAGCTTGAAAAGCCTTGTTTCTGGTATTTACACCAGTGCCAAGTCATTGGTGTAAATGTCAACTCAAGCAGGACTGGGAACAGTGTGGGCACTAAGACACCTTGGCTGCCTGTGCTCAATAATTCTTCCTCTCTTAGAAGCAGCCAGAAATCAGCTCCAAAGCCACTTTCCCCTTCCACAGATCCCCCAGTGCTTAAGGAGGACTCTGTGAAGGTCTCCCACAGTTGTTAGAATGAACCCCCAGTTTCACAACTCTGCTGATGTCATTGGTCAATATTAGAACCAACTGAGAATTTTGAAACTGTCACTGTCACTTAAAAGGTTAGGCATGGTTAGCACATGACCCAGAAATTCCACTCGTAAGTCTGTACCCGATAGAAATGAAAGCATATGCTCACACAACTTTATGTGAATGTTCATAATAGTAGTTCAGAGCAGTCACAATAGGCAGAAGTCATCCAGATGTTCATGGAGTGATATAAATCAAATGTGGCATATCCATGCATGAAATATAACTTATCCATAAAAAAGGAATAAAGTCCTGATTCCTTTACAGTTTAAGCTGTGGTTTCCTTGTCATGATGCCAATGTTTTGTTTGTCCCGTTCCATCAGTTACTGTTGACAGAGGTTTCTGTCCCACCCAGTCCCTCAGTCGTTCTGTCCCGAAGAAGCACACAGAGGCCTACATTAATTATGACCTGGTTGGCCTATTAGCTCAGGCTTCTTAATAACTAATTCTTGGGCTGGAGAAATGGCTCAGCTGTTAAGAGCACTGACTGCTCTTCCAGAGGACCCAGGTTCAATTCCCAGCACCCACATGGCAGCTCACAACTGTCTGAAAATCCAGTTCCAGGGCATCTGACACCTTCACACCTATGCACATAAAATAAAGATAAATAAGTCATAAAATTTAAAAAAAAACAACTAATTCTTACATCTTAAATTAGCCCATTATTCTTGTCTATGTTAGCCACGTGGCTTGGTACCTCTTTCAGCGAGGCATTCTCATCTTGCTTTTTCTGCATCCGGGTGACAATGGCAGACTGAGCTTTCCTCTTTCCAGAATTCTCCTCTTCTCAATGCCCCGCCTCTACTTCCTGCCTGGCTACTGGCCAAACAGCGCTTATTTAAAATACAAGTGACAGGGTACAGACCATTGTCTCACAACAAGTTATCTCCCTAAGCCCTGAGGCCACTTCCGGCCCCTTCTATCTCAACAGTCTGCAGAATGATCCTGTCAGGATACAGTTGGGAATCTGTTAAAGACCCAAGGGCTCCTTTCCCAGACAGCTTTAAGTGCTCATTTTCTCTTTTAGAAAGTTGGACAGTCACGTGATAACTTTTCTGGATGTGTTATTCCTAGGTCCTGCCTAGACAACAGACCTGAATACATTACACACTTTTGCCTTGTCCCAGGATTTGCTCAAGTTGTCTCGTCTCTCTGGCTAATTGTGTCCTGACAGTGGTCTTATAATCAGAGGTGAGTAGGAATATGGATTGTGCTACCTGCTAGGAGAATGACCTTAAGCAAATCACGTTTTCTAAGCCTTAGATTTCTCACCTAAGTGGAGATGATAAGATTACCTAGAGGCAGCCATCAGGATAAAATTGTGGAAGTTCATCCATTTCCACCATCCTGGGTCTTCTTCCTAAGAATCACCTGTTATTCCTTTTGGTCTCTGATCTCTTTAAGGGGCAAGCCACGCCACTCCCAGCGACTTCTGACCTCTTGTCGCCATCTTGGCCTCTTTCCTTTCATTCTCTTGGTGTGTGCACACGTGTTTTCCCATCTCTCTCTTTTTCTCTGTTTCTGTCTTTCTTGCTCTTTTAAGTAATAAATGTTCAGCTTTATGTCTATTTACTATGTCTTATAAGCCTTTTATCTGCCACCTGCTCTTCAGCCGCATGGCAGGACCAGCCTGTCCGGGATGAGCCACCGCTCATCCACTCTACTACTCGCCGGGGAATCTGCACCAGAGGCTCTGGCAGCCGTCTCTGCCTGGCTCGTGGCTGCTCTGCGAGCTTGCTGCCTGGGGATCTTGGGCAGGCCGCTTGGGGGGCACGCCATTCATTTTTTAAGGAATATTACCACGTCTGTGGTTGTGTCTTCACAGAGTCCCTACACACTGTTTTGCCATGAGCACCCGGGAATACCTATATCCCAGAGCTAGTTGTAATGCCCAAATCCACAAAGTCCCCCAAAAGCCAACAAGGAGACCGAGTCCCGTATGGAAAAGCAAAGAGCCTTTATTTTATGCAAGTTGTGCAAACTCAGTCTCTCCACATGTCCAACGTATTGGAATAAACGGAGAGCCCGGAGCTCAGTTAGAATAGGGTTTTATAGTAGTAAAGGTGGGGGTGAGGGGTTTCTGAGGTTTGAGACCCCTGATTGGCAGACATTTGTCTATGGGTGTCCTGGTGACTGTGTTGGCAGGCAGTCCTATCTACAGCGATTGGACTTTGAATGGTCTGCTCCTGGGTGGTGCTCAGTAATCTCAGTTTGTGGTTTTTCCTGCTACCAGGCATTGCTTCAGAGTAAACTACTGAGACTTAGGCCTCTTATTAAATTTATCGATGGCTGAGTTCTACTCTGGCAGGTGATAATGGTTAAAAGTAAAGAACTTCCTTTGGGTGACCTGCCCACACTTAGCTTATCATGGCTGGCTCCCACACCACCATCCTGGGTCTCCTTCCTAAGAACCACCTCTGGAGATGTGTCTTCACAGAGCCCCCCATGCTGGGACAGGGGGACTTCCCCCACATTGTTTTGCCATGAGCACCCAGGAATACCTATATATCTCAGAGCTTGTCACTTTCAGCATTTATTTACAAGAAATTTCTAGTTCACAATCACCTGGAATGAAATGTGTTGTTTAGGACAGTATCTTACATCCAACAGGAAGTTTGGGATAAATCACTGAGTAGTTAAGGCCCCACTGGTAAATTCCTTCCACTCAGCTTAAAGTTTTGCTTTTAAGATGTTGCTTGTCTCACATCTTATCAGCTGTAAATGATTCCTTCTTCCCTCCCCCTGCATTCCTATAAAAAAATCCTTTTATTGATTGCTACCAATTGTTCCAAGATCATACAGCTAATAATGCATTAAGTTGGACAACATCTCGCCAAAGTTCACATCCACTGGAACCTCAGATCCTTTTTGAAAAGACATACATGTGTTGTGTCCCTTAATTGTAGGACCCAGCCACGACAAGCTCAATAGAGGCCTGAGTCTCAGTAGTTTACCCTGGTTCCAAGAAAGACCACAAACTGAGACAGCCCAGGCACCACCCAGAACAGACCATCCAAAGGAAATTCCTAACGCTCCAACCATTGTAGATGGGATCACCTGCTAGCACACACCCATTGCTTTTCACCAGGACACTCCTAGACAAATGTCAACCAATCAGGGGTCCTGAACATTAGAAATCCCTCACTCCCACCTTTGCAGCTACAAAAACCCAACCCCAACTGAGCTCAGGGCTCTTTGACCACTCCGGTACAAAGAACACACAGAGAGTCCGAGTTTGTAGACTTGTGTAAGAATAAGGCTTGTGTAAGAATAAGGCTTTTACATAGAAGACTCCGTCTCCTAGTTGGTTTTGGGGGGGGATTCTGTGATCTGGGCATAACATTAAGCACAAAGAAACGTTCTGAGAGACTTGTTAAGCAATTCATCACTGTCCCGGGCATCGTAGGCTATGACCCTCCCTCCGCCCCTACCTGTGTCTGCAGCTTCTAAATTGAAGCTACAATATAAAGATCAGTATCTCATGTTCCAGAGTAGGACTTATAAGTTAAGATGGAAATGCAGGTTCATGTTAGTGGTTGGGAAGAGGTACTTACCGCAAAGAGTGGCCAGGCATGTTCGCATGAAGCAATTACAGTCTGGCCCTGAGATTTAGCAGCAAAGGGGAAACGAGTTTCCTGATGAAGGGATGAGAATGCTTTAGAAATTGGGGACTGAGAACCACAGGCTGTGATCATGCACAAGGTTGAAGTCGGAGGATGGCTTGAATCCGGTTCAACACTGGCCTGGAAAACACAGACCTGACTGCAAAGGAAGAAAAAAGGGAAATTGCTTGAAAAGCTTTCATGTGATGACGGAGAGTGTTGACCATGGTGCTCTATGCTTGGGTGGATGGAGAATGAAACTTGGAGCTGCTCCTCTTTCTTCCACCCTTCTGCAGCCTATTCTCTTTTGATAGCTACGGTGAGCCTTTCAAAATAAAATCCCATCACCTCTCCCCTTCTCTTCCAGGTGTTCTCGGCTCCCTCATGGCTCCCACCTAGCTTGTCTCCCCGGCTACCTTCCTTCACCTCCTCCAACAGTGAAAGCCATCCTCGAAGCAAAGATTGCATCTGTCGCTCCTCTGCTCTGAAGCCTTGGTGGCTTCCCTTCTGACTCAGAGTTTACCTGTGTGACTCAGAGCAAGGTCCCATTAAACCCTGACCGTGACACACAAGAGTTCATCTCCCCATCGCACGGAGCCTGTGTTAGCGTGTTAGCGGAGGTGCTCTCCATTCCCAGAGCTTTCGCCCTCTGTCTGCGGGGCTCCTCCCTCGCTTCCTGCAGGTGGGAACTTTATCCCTTCTCTCAGCAAGGTCTTTGTCTCCATCCTTCCTATTTCCCTTCTTTATTTTAACTCTTAGCATTTATGAGCTTCTAACATGTTAAACACATCAAACTTTTCAAATGTCGACCTTTTACCCCAAACACATATTATAATACAAATTTCATGAGAATAAAATATGAAATAAAACAGATTTTATTTTTGCTTTTCAGCTTGTTGGAGACACGGTGCTCCTATGTAGCACTGGTTGGTCCATAAGTTACTAAATAGCCAAGAATGGTCTTGATCTTGGACAATCCAATCTTGGCCTCCCAAGTGCTGACAAGTACATCCAATCTTTTGATCTTGAGACAGGATGATATCATCTACAGAGTTCAAACACAAAATCCATATATTCAAGATGCAAAAAATATTGCAAAAAAAGAAAAAATTCCATAATGGTTTAAGTAAGTTTATGATTTCGTCAAATTTATAGCTATCCTGGGGCCAGATGCAGACATCTGGTTGGACAAAACGTCTAGCTATTTTGTGCCAAAACAGCCCAGCTGAAGGAAAAGGATGTTTGGTCTGTGCTATTCACCAAAGCCTAGAAGAATGTCTGGGGTGTAGTAGAGTAGTTGGCATTCGACAAATGCCTGTTCCACGGAAGGGCAAATGATTAAGCAAACAGGGTGATAACAAGATGCTGGATGACACAGAGACTATCCTACTACCTGTCAGCGTGAAACAAGACACAAAACATAATGTAAAAGCCAAGATTCCTGTGCTGGATAAAAACTGCATAGGTGTGGCTGTAAGCCACTTCCGGTTCTTTTGTTTCATATAAAGATCCGGGTGCACGAGTTTGCCTTTGGTCCTCTTGTTGCCTGAATCCACACTTGCGGAGTCACCACCACTTTGCGCATATAATCATTTCTGGCGTAGGATTCTATGAGGAGCTCCTCATCCACCACCGCGTATGTTTCCATACGCTGCTACAGGTTAGAACACCATTCTGGGAATAACCATTTGGCCTGCAGTAAAATAACTTCCCCATCACAAGGTACCTAAAACTCTTGCTTAGTGAGCAATAATAAAAGATCAGAACAAACGAGAGCGCAACTGTGCGCCAGGTAGCTCCAGAACCTTAAATATATAGAGGCCCTAAAAACTAATTAAATATATCTCTATTCCATAGGTTAATAAGGGAACATGTTCCTAACGAATAGGGACTTAAAACTATCCAAACATTGCTTTAGGTGCTAAAATGGTGGGATTGCAGGTGATGTTTTTAATCTTAACACTTTGTTGTTATTTACTTTGTTGTTGTTTTTTATTTTCTGTTCTCACAGTCCTCTTGTTCCCGTCTCCCGAGTGCTAGCTAGGTCGTGGGTGGCAGCGGGCCGGGCCCAGGCCCTCAAACGTTTCAATCCTGGAGTTCTATTGTGTGTGCCTGTATACTTTGCATACCTGTAAGCGTTTGTGTATGATCAAGTAATTGTAAAACCTGGACCAGCCCAACAACAGGAAATCGTTCCGCAACATCTGGAAAAGAGAAGCACAGCCCTGGCCGACTCAGCCCACACTCCACCCAAATCAGGAGTGTGCGGGGGCGGGGAGATCCCGCTAAACCGAGAGGCTAAGACCCCGCCCACGGGGAATGAGTCCTTCTTGGGAGACCAATCCGCAACCTTATGCAAATAATAAGTGGGCGTGGTTAGAAATGGCCTCTGCCTTCGAAGCCACTCCGGAAGAAGGAACGGGGGGGGGAGGGACCGCGGGCTAGCCCTAATTGGCTGACCCATGCGTGGGGCGGGGCCTGAAGGCAGACCCGCCTCCCGAAGGGTGGTGCCTGCGCTCAGCGTTCTAGCCTAGGGACGTAGAGGGGTGTGGAGTGTGGCACCGCAGGCCTCGGGGCGGGGCCGGAAGTGGGGCTCTGAGGTCCGCACCTCTGCGTTCCGGGAGGCCGCTGTTCCCCCGGATCTGTTCCTGGTCCCCTTCAAGTCACAGCCTGAATCCGGGAGACCGGAGCCTTCAGCCTGGGCGGGGCGGCGCGGACCGGAAGGACGCCATCCGGGCCTCGGCCATGGAGGCTCCCGCGCTGTCCCTAACAGAGGAGGACCTGACTGAAGTGAAGAAGGACGTGAGTAGCTCGGCCGGGCTGGGCGCAGCGGGACGGGCGGGGATGGAGGAAAGCGGAAACCCGGAGCCGAGCGACGGGGAACTTCGGATCGGAAGAACGCAAGGTCGGGGCACACAGCACGACCCGCCTGCTACATCCCGGGGCTGGCTGGAAGTGACCCAGCAGCCAGCTGTGAGTCCACGGGGAAACCTATTGGCGCCGGCTTGGGTGTTTCTTTGCCATCCGCTTCACACCGGTGGCTCTGCACCCTTGCACCCTGCTGATCCCCCACCCTAGCTCACCCCCGCGGGAGCTGCTTGGCTAGGGCCCCCGGAGGGCTCTGTTTGGAGCAGACGCTGGACCAGGTGTCCCCCGGTAGGAGAACAGATGGGGGAAACTCGTCTGTCCGGGGGGCTGCGGAAAGCTCGCCAGCTGAAAGCACAGCCTGGAATTCCCCTAGTAAGCAGACGCCCACGTATTTAAATGAAGGGGGGTGTGCGTACATCTAGCGAGGCTTGATTCCCAGGTAAACGTTGAAAATACTCAGTGGCTAAATTGCCCTCTTCTGCTTAGAGCACGCAGAACTGCACAGACACCTTAATATTTGAGAAAGATGACTTGAGGCACGATATGTTTCGTTTTTCTTCTCCTTTAGTTACATGTTTTGCCAGAAAAGAAAGAAATCAGATAAGCACTGCTTGGATTAATATACGTGAATTCACATTAAAAACAGTAATTCGTTCTTGCTTAGCATCGTAGTGCTATCGAAAAGTCGTCTTTGCGAACTTGACAGCAAGTTGTTCTAGACGTCCTTCTGCTTCAGATCCCTTTTTCTACCATACCTTACTCTTTGTAGGGTTTATTGCACTGCACCCATAATTAAAATTGGCATGGTTGACTGGGACTTGTGCTGCATGTATGTAGGTCCCTTGTTTGGTGGAGTTGGCAGAGCACTTACTGTATGGAAAGCTTTACACTCCACTTGAAACTAGGTCTTCAATAACCACTATTATTATTAAACTTATTAAAGATGCCAGAAAAACGATGCACATGGCAGCTATGCTCCCAGTTCTGTTTCACACAGTTTGGAATTTTCTCACAATCCTTAAGATAACCTGTAAGGAAGAGAATTGCTTTCCATTTTATAGCTGGCAAAGGCGGACCAGTCCTGCCTATAGACACAGATGGGAAGACCACTGCAGACCTCTGTTTCTGGTCCGGTGGGCTCACTGATGTTACTTACCCACCCCGGCGTTCCCAGTTTAGACCTGTGTCAGATGTTCATAACCGTAGAGAAGCGATGCATGAGCCACAAGGTGGCTACAGAAAATATTTTTTCTCAGGTGTCTGTCCTATTTTCAGAACTGCTGTGACAAGCTTGAAAATTCATCCACACAATTTGAACTTCCTTCTTTCTCAACTCCAGACCTTTATTTACAGACGCTTTTTAGGAACCAAGTTTTAATATTATACAAATTATTCTTCTGTTTTTAGTCATTAAACTATTCACAATCCTCCCCCCCCCCCCGCCAAGCTGCGTGGGGTCCTTTTAGGAAGTGGCTGAAGTTATTTACATGAGGCTGTGTCTATTTTCAGGCTTCGCTTTCTGTGGCGTCTGTTGCCTGTGGTCAGCCATGGCCCCAAAATACTTAACGGGGATGTGACAAGTTTATATGGTACAAATTGAGCACTTTTCTAAGTGGCTTGATAAAATCCCGCCCTATCCCACTGTATCTGGCCAGGGCCATGAGGCAAACCTTTTCCCCAGTGTTGTATGTGTTACCTGCCTGCTAGTCCCTTAGTAGCTGTCTTGATGAGATTAGTTTTTATGGCAGAGAGCTTCGGTATGGGGTTGGAACCATGAGGTTTCAGACATCCCCTGAGGGTCTTGGCACAAGTCCTTATGTTGGGGGGAGCACTGTCCTGCTGCTGATCCCCCAGGTGTAGACGAATGTTTTTTCCTGGCTGCAAGTCCCAAATAACTACACGTAGGCTTTATTAATTACAAATGCTCAACCAGTAGCTCAGGCTTACTACTAGCTAACTCTTACATTTTCAATTAATCCATATTTTTATCTAGGCTTTGCCCCAGGCCTTGGTACCTTTTCTCAATAAGGCGTGCCCATGTTCTGTCTCTGCTCCAGCATTCTCAGTTTGGCTCTCCCGCCTAACCTTATTCTGTTCAGCTATTGGCCAGTTAGCCTCTTTGTTAAACCAATCACAGTGACATATGTTCATACAGTATAAAGGAATATTCCACAGCCAGGACACCTCTGTCTCCAGCGCTCCTCCCTCTTCTCATCTGTTTGTTTAATGTCCTTTTTTGGTTGAATTTGTTCTCTGAAGTTCATAATGTACTTTGGTTCTAACAGTTAAATTAAGAACTAAGACAAAGTTCTGTTTTTAAAATGGCTTAATTTTGCAGAGTGGTGGTGGTCCACGTCTTTAATCCCAGCATTCAGGAGGCAGAGGCAGATGGATCTTTGTGAGTTCGAGGACAGCCTGGTCTATAAGAGCTAGGTCCAGGGCAGGCACCAAAGCTACAGAGAAACCCTGTCTCGAAAAACAAAACAAAAACAAAAAAAGCTTAATTTCTTGAAGGGAAATAGCCATAAAACAATAATTTTGGAATATTGTATTGAATTTTTCATTCATCCAAAGCACTGCACTCTGAAATGCAGATTATACAGCATTAAACAGAACACCACTGCTTCTTACCTGCTCCAAATATATAGGTCATTAAAGCTGAAAAATAAAATATCTTTCATGGAGCTGGAGAGATGGCTCAGTGGTTAAGAACACTGCCCACGGGCTGGAGAGGTGGCTCAGAGGTTAAGGTCACTAGCTGCTCTTCCAGAGGTACTGAGTTCAATTCCCAGCACCCACATGGTGGCTCACAACCATCTGAAATGAGATCTAATGCCCTCTTCTGGCCTGCAGACATACATGCAGTCAGAATATTGTATATGTAATAAATAAATAAATCTGTTTTTTTTTAAAAAAAAAAAAAGAGCACTGCCTGCTCTTCCAAAGGTCCTGAGTTCAGTTCCCAGCAACCACATGGTGGCTCACAACCATCTGTAATGAGATCTGATGCCCTTTTCTGGCCTGCAGGCAGACACAATACTGTATACATAATAAATAAATAAGTAAATTTTTTAAAAAAAATAAAATATCATTCACATAACCGTACAATTACAGATTTGGTCAGTGCTATGCAGACAAGCACTATACTGTGGATGAGATGGTCAGATGTGCCTGAGATTGATTCCTGGAGGTCATGACAGAGCTGGGGGAGGAACACCTGCAGGAGAAAAGAATTTACTGACAGGGACCTAAAACAGTCAAGACCTTTGTAAGTTCAGAATGTCGAGAGAAGGCAGAGGGTAACAAGATGAGATGGGAAAGGTGGTCTCAGTAATCTCATGAAGGACTTGATTTTTTTCTGCTGATAGAGGCTTGCTAAGGAATTAATAGGATTTTTGTTTGTTTGACTTTTAAAGATTTTTCTGCCTTTTCTGTAGACTAGGACGTGAGTAAAAGTAGAAAAGGTCGTGAAAAGTCTTGACTAGGTGTCCTGGGAGATGGTTTGGATCAGGGTTAAGGAGCAGCGCAGGTGAAGCAGAAGTTTGGGGTGCTTTTTAAGAGCACAGAAATAATGGGACTTGATGGGCAGCTGAAACCGAGGAAGAGATGATGATAAGATGAAGGTGGAAAGGTTCTGTCAGAAGAGCAGATCATTGGTGACTTCGGGAAGAGCGTTGGGACACAGTGGAAATGTCTGGGGATGAGCTGGAAAATGAGATAAAGAAGTAGGAATCTGGTGCTGCAAGAGGTGTGTCCAGCTCATCCTGGATGCTAAGGTGAGGCTCTCAAGGGATGACCAGTGACCTCGGTCTTAAAAGGTGAGGAGGAGCTTAGGGTATGAAAAGAGGAAACCAGACACGTGACAACATGAGACAGCGACAGGCCTCAGCTGTAGATGAGCAGAAGTCCTAGGGCAAAGTGCTGCTGAACTACCACACTTTCAAGAATCTTCCCTGCCATGGTTCAGTAGTCACTGGACATTGAACTTTTACTGTCTGTAAGAGACTAGGCTGAACAGACACAATTAATAAATGGGACCTCCTGAAACTTAAAAGCTTCTGTAAAGCAAAGGACACAGTCAACAAGACAAAACAACAGTCTACAGAATGGGAAAAGATCTTCACTAACCCCGCATCAGATAAAGGTCTGATCTCCAAAATATACAAAGAACTCAAGAAATTGGACAACAAAAGATCACATAATCCAATAAAAAAAAATGGAGTACAGACCTAAAGAGAGAACTCTCAATAGAGGAATCTAAAATGGCTGAAAGTCACTTAAGGAAATGTTCAACATCCTTAGTCATCAGAGAAATGCAAATCAAAACAACTCTGAGATTTCATCTTACATCTGTAAGAATGGCCAAGATCAAAAACACTGATGACAACTTAAGCTGGAGAGGTTGTGGGGTAAAGGGAACACTTCTGCATTGCTGGTGGGAATGCAAGCTGATACAGCCCCTTTGGATGTCAGTATGGCAATTTCTCAGAAAATTAGGAAACAACCTTCCTCAAGACCCAGTAATACCACTTTTGGGTATATATCCAAAGGATGCTCAATCGTGCCACAAGGACGTGTGTTCAACTATGTTCATAGCAGCTTTGTTTATCATAGCCAGAACCTGGAAACAACCTAAATGCCCCTCGATCGAAGGATGGATAAGGAAAATGTGGTACATTTACACAATGGAGTACTACACAGCAGAAAAAAATAGCAACAGCTTGAATTTTGCAGGAAAATGGATGGAGCTAGAAAATATTATGTTGAGTGAGGTAACCCATACACAAAAAGACAGTTATCACATGTACTCACTCATAGGTGGTTTTTAAACATAAAACAAAGAAAACCAGCCTACAAACCACAATCCCAGAGAACTTAGACAACAATGCAGACACTAAGAGAGACTTACATACATGTAAATCTACATGGGAAGTAGAAAGTATAAAAAAACAAGATCTCCTGAGTAAATTGGGAGCGTGGGGATCTTGGGGGAGGCTTACAGGGGGAGGGGAGCAGAGAAAAATGTAGAGCTCAATAAATATCAATAAAAATGTATTAAAAATAAATAAATAAAAAGAGAGCCTAGGCTGAACTCGGGAGGCAGAGGGAAGCGATCTCTGTGAGTTCAAGGTCAGCCTGCTCTACAGAGCTCCAGGACAGCCAAAGCTACACACACACACACACAAAAAAAAGCAGAGAGAGAAAGATGGATGAGCCTTCACACACATCATTCTAGTTTGTCTTCCTAGATGGTTTAATTCTTTATCCTTATTTTGTCAAGGAAGATCTTGAAGTAATCTGTACCTACTTATCAAAGTATTTGTAGATTCAGAATTTTAACAGAAGTGTATCTCATTTCAGAGCCATGTTCTTAATTATTTTCTAGATTTTTTTAATGTGAATGTTTTGACTGCATATATATATACACACATACATACACACATATATATTCCTACTATGTTTGTCCCTGGTGTCCACAGAGATCAGAAGGCCTCTGTCAGATCCCCTGGAACTAGAGTTGTGGATCATTATCAGCCTCCATGTGGATACCCAGATCCACTCCAGAACAAGTGCTCTTAACCACAGAGCCACCTTTCTAGTCCCAATGCTCTCAGCTTCTAAGCTGTGCTTCAGTAATACCTAGTAAATCATAGGCAGAACACAGTGTGGCTGTAATTTATGTAACAGTTCAGATGTCTGTTTCCTCCTGAAAGTTTGTAAAAGTGTAGGTGATGTCTGAAAGAGAGATTTGAGAAAGGAGGGAGTTAGAAAATGTTGCTTTTCTGTTATCAGCCCTCCAGGATATAAGGACCTGTGTCAGGCAGTGCCAGCCGTGCTGGAGTGGTGGTGATTGGCAGCAGTGAAGAAGAATTGGGGTTGATGGATGGTGTAATTCCAAATGAGCTGAGAACAGAACAATAGGAAGATAACATGTTGAATTTGAAGTGTCTTGAGATGTCACAGTGGAAAACATCTTGATCACAGACATATTTGTGACTTGTCAGCATACATGGTAAAAAGGGCCATAGGAGTTTTTCAAGTTCATCTTTTAAATAAAATCTTTCACCCACATTCACAGTATGTTCAGTATATCCAAAATGCTTTCTGTGCTGTCGTGGCAATTTTCTGCTTGTTTCCTTTGACCCCAATCTTGGTTCCCCCTAATCCTTTCTAAAAGTTTCCTATTGCTTTTTATTTATACACGTTTGATGACTCTTCCTCTGGATGACAAGAAACATTCCTCAGCATGTTGTAAAAGTCGTCCATGATCTAACTCTAGTTCTCTTCCCTTAGCTTCATTCTTTACCACCCTCAGATGCACACCATAGATAGTTCTTCCCCGCTGCGCTACTGCACAGCTTCAGGCCTTTGTAAATCCCGAGCCTGGACGGAGTTGTGCACCCGCGCTTTCCTTGTTTTTGATTAGTGATCTCTCTTTGCAGGGCTGCATCATGTGGTCCTGTAATTACTGCATGTGTGTGCTGTGTATTCCCCAGCTGAACTGGGGGCCCTTTGTATACAGTGTGCAACTCTTGTTCGCCTCCTTATGTTCATGCTAGGAACTTACACATAAAAAGTTTGCTGTGTGGATAAATAAATGTGTGTGGGAATTCAGGAGATTAAAAATCTTTAAGAAACCTCCAGATTCCCTGCCACTGTTTACTAACTAGGCTCTACTGAAATCTTCCACTGCCTTTAGCTCATTATAAATGTTAGTCAGATTAATCACCATTATCATTTTCCCTAACAGGATCGATCGCATAGTATGTGCCATGCAATTTCTAAGCAATTTGCATATTAATTTATCCCTCCGAACTATCACACGCAGAAACAGGTACAGAGGACTTAAGTAACTTGCCTAAAATAATGTGTCTAGTAAGCAGGCACGAATATGTAATGACTGGCATCAGATTATCATCGTTTATTAAGACAAACATGGACCTGATTTAAACAGTACACACTATGCATTGAGTGTTAATTACATGCTACCTCATTGACACATGCACCATTTTGTTTTTCATGTTTCAGAACTAGCTTCTCTTAATTTAAGCTTTCCTCTAGTCTCCTTTTTCCTAAGTTTTCCAGCACTCCCTCCTAGTTCTTTATGTTCCTCTCTGCATCCCTTCCTTCTCCCTCCCACAAAGACTGGCTCCATCAGTTGTATAGGTTTCTAACTGACCTCAAAGCCAGACATCTGGGCCCTTTGGGGTTTTGAGTTTTGTGTGTTTTTAATGGTTTCACAGTAGGTGATGTAAAAATTAATAACAAACATTAGAAAGTTGCAAATTGTGAGGCTCCACACCAAGATGTTCTCCCTGGTCCTAATTGTGAAATTACTTTCTTAATAGTTACTAGAATCTAAAAAAGTTTTTTTTTTTCTTTACCCAGTTAACTAGGTGACCCTCTGCAGACTTCTAGATTCTGCAGGCCCTCCTCCAATCAGCTGGGTGTTAGCTTTCAGGTGTGATAAAAGATGAACCAGACCCGGGCAGCAGAGTCTGAGGACTGTGTGGGACCCACTTGTGCATTTTAAAGGGCCCAACCCTCCTGACCTCAGAGCATTGCCTCGTACTGCCTAAGAGTCCTCTCTAATAACCAGTCACTGCTGTTTTCCCACGTGTTACAAAGTAACGCTGAAGCATCTTTTCTTTTGTCCCTTAGGCTTTAGAAAATTTACGTGTTTACCTGTGTGAGAAAATCATAGCTGAGAGACATTTTGATCATCTACGTGCAAAAAAAATACTCAGTAGAGAAGACACGGAAGAAATTTCTTGCCGAACTTCAAGTAGAAAAAGAGCTGGGAAGTTGTTAGACTACTTACAGGAAAACCCCAAGGGGCTGGACACCCTCGTGGAATCCATTCGCAGGGAGAAAACACAGAACTTCCTGATTCAGAAGATAACGGATGAAGTGCTAAAGCTTCGTAATATAAAACTGGAGCATCTCAGAGGTGAGGGGTGCTGTGTGTGCAGCAAAGCTCAGGGTCAGAGCTAGTTCAATTTACATTTCTTACCAGATACATTGTCATGTTACAAAAGTGATATAAACCCAGTTGGCTGTATCCGTAGTCATTTAAGATTAAGAAGCTTATTTCTAAATTGTGCCATAAACGTAATCCATTCAGAAATAAGCTCAGAAACACCGTTACATTACATTTTAGGAAGAGGAGCTCTGTGACAGATGCCTGTATTCCTAGACTTAGGAGGCCAAGGCAGGAGGACTGCCACAAGAGGAAAGCCAACCTGGGTTACATTGTGAGTTCCAGGTCAGCCTGGTATTTAGAGTGATGCTCTGTCCTGACAACCGAAGGACAATCTATAGGTGATGGATCTTAAGTTTGCCTGAGCTTGTCTGTGTGATTTTTCCCACCAGTTAATTAGAAGCTGTGATTGGCACATGCTTATAAGAATCCTGCATAAAGTATACATGAGTTTAAACCAGTCAGCTTGTGAGAGGCATGGGACCTGAGACTGGCCAAAGAGGAGCAAGGCACCTCCCATTTCACCCTCAGCCCACAGCACTCTCTGACAGGACACTGTGTAGAACTCTGCTCAGTTTAAATCCCCAAGATAATCCTCCCACCCCTTCCCCATTTCTCCAGAGCACCGAGTTGCACACACACACACACACACACACACACACACACACACGTAAGCTTAGGCTGTAACTGTGCCTGTTCCTCTTGATGTTGGCGATAGAGAAGTGAGTCATTGAAGGCTCTGCATGTAAGAAACTCAAATCTGGATGTCTTTATTGCATCTCCTCTTTATGAGCTTTATGACCAGCATCTGAGTCAGGTTTGGTGGTCTACATCTGGGCGCTTAGGGGAGGACTATGGTTTTTGAGGTCAACCTGGGCTACTCTCTAAAATCTTCTCTCAAAATACCAGTGAGTCAGAGATGGAGAAAGGGATGTGTCAAATAGTGAAAAAAATAGCAGAAAAAATGACCCACAAATTCACTTTTAGATGTCATTGGTTTTACCTGTAACTGTCACCTCCATTGCTGTGCCTGGAGACAGCTGCACTGCCTCTGCTAAGCATAACAGGCAGTGTTTGCGTCCGTCCTGTCTGGGCTGACTGTCCATTAGACCGGCAGGTCATGGTAGAATTCTACGGTTGGAGAAAGCGCTATTGTTGAGAGCCGCGGTGGTCGCTGGCTACCTGCAGCTCCCACTGTGCACGGCAGTCTTGGAACACTGCATGGCTGCCTGTCAGTGCTGGTGTTCTCAACCCTAATAGTGACAGCGAGCGTCTCGGGTCACTAAATCCTCTTCGGTTCTAACACCCCAATTACTCGAGAACCAGTAATTGCCATTTATTGGCTTGTAAGGTGTTTTTGTTTTTTCGAGACAGGGTTTCTGTGTAAGTGTGGAGCCTGTCCTGGAACTCACTCTGATAGACCAGGCTGGCCTCCAGCTCACATAGATCTGCCTGCTTCTGCCTCCCGAGTGCTGGGATTAAAGGCGTGTACCACCACTGCCCGGCTTGTAAGATTTGAGTACATGTCTGATTACATTTTTTTAAATAAAGTAATAATATTTTTTGCCAGAATGCTAAAGAATGTTTCTTAGATAAAAATGGTAGTTGTAATCTTAGCACTCAGAGTTCAGGTCGCCCTGGGCTGCTTAGCAACTGCAGCACTAACATACACTATACGGTGAACTGTAGAAATAACATGTTACATTCTTTGGACTCTGGAGGGGCCCATCACCCAGCTCCCAAATGAATCACATGCGGAGGCTCATCTTAGTTATGAGTGCCCAGCCTTAGCTTGGCTTGTTCCTTGCCTGCTTTTCTTACATTATCCCATCTCCCTTTTGGCTGCTGTGTTTTTCCATACACTTATTTCTTTAAATCTCACTGTGTGAATTGCTGTGTAGCTGGGAGGCTATCCCCTGATGTCCTCCTCCTCCTCGGGGTACTCCTGAACCCCTTCTCCCAGTTTTATCCTTCTATATACTCTCTGCCTGGCAGCCCCGCCTATCCTTTCTCCTGCCTCACTATTGGCCGTTCAGAGCTTTACTAGACTGTCAGGTGTTGGAAGCAGGCAGAATAACCCAGCTTCACAGAGTTAGGCAAATGCAACTTAAACAAAAGTAACACATCTTACAATAATATTTCCAGCAGGGAACCCTCTCTCAACGGAAATAAAATTTGCTATGAACAGCTGCTTGCCTTTTTTTTTTTCTTTTTTTTTTTTTTAGTATATCTGAGCTGTTTGCCTGCACTTGCATGCCTGGTGCCTGCAGAGTCCAAAGAGCACATCAGCCCCCCTGGAACTGGAGTTACAGATGGTTGTGAGCCACCATGTGGGTGCTGGGAACTGAACCAGGGTCTTCTGGAAGACCAGCCAGTCAGTGCTCTTAACCTTTGAGCCACTTGGCCTCCTACCCCACCCTATCCTTCAGCTGTTAACTATGCAAGTAATCATTGAATGTGAACACTGTGGCATTGAGTTAGCTGCCTTGAGACGGTGGCCTGAGCCTGCCGTGTAAATAGTAGTAGTCTTGTCAGAAGAGCAAGTGAGGTTTGCAGAGGCTTGTGACAGCAGCATTTGTAAACTGCAGCAGAAATCCTGCCGCTGAGCATCAAGAGGCAGCTTCTAATCCCAGCTCTCAGGCGGCGGTTACAGGAGCCAGCCTGGGCTACATAGTGAGTTCAAGGGCAGTCTAGACTACACAAGACCCTGCCACAAACAACGTACTGTGGTGATACGGGAACTAGCTCACAGTCCACGAGGAGTTAGAGGGTGGGAGGCGTGTCCGGTTTTGCTTCCCTTCTCATTTGCTTTCGGAATGCTCTGTTGTAGGTTTGCAGTGCAGCAGCTGTGAGCCCTTTGCCGCTGCCGCCACCAACAACCTTTCCAGGTCCAATTCAGACGAGAGTAATTTCTCAGAAAAACAGAGAGCATCCATGGTCACGTACCATCCGGAAGGAGAATCGAGCACCGCTCCCTTTTTCTCCACTGAGTCTTCTCTGAATTTGCCAGTCCTGGAAGTTGGCAGAACTGAAAACAGCAGCTTCTCCTCTGGCACTCTTCCTCGACCTGGGGACCCCGGGGCCCCTGCTTTGCCCCCAGATCTGCAGTTGGAAGGAGGAACTTGTGGAAACTCGAGCGAGATGTTTCTGCCCTTACGGTCACGTGCTCTCTCACGCCAGTGACGCTTCACTGCCTAGTGTTGAAACATGTTGTGAATGATAGAATCTTTTTATAAAACCACTGTAACAGTACACTCACGCTTCACATGTGTCCTAAATCACAGTGTGCACATCTCTGTAAATAGGATTTGTTAGAGTAAAGAAGCACACTAGGGGGTAGCTGGGCGTAAATCATGGGTGTGCTTCTCTGTATTGACCCTTTTCTCTTTTAGATGTCTAGTGTTTTCAACTTTTTGTAAGACTAATTTTATCAACATATTTCTCAATTTGAGAAATCAACTCATGGGCTGAGAATAATGTTTCTTAGCACATTTATGCTACAAATTTTCAGTTTGATATTTTTCCCAATGATCTGGCCGTACATCTCAGCAGTATGCTGTTCGGACTTGTAGAAAAGCCAGGCACTAAGGAGAGTCTCCCGCTCCTTGGTTCTGAGAAGCCTTTGGGTTCTAAAGGAGCACCTGTGACCTCAGTGGCCACAGTTCATTTCGTACTGCTCTTGCCAGCCGACTAAGTGCCTTTGGGTTTCAGCCTTTGCGTCCTCATTCTTAGCTCTGGAGAATATCTTCCTGGCTGGGCAGTGGGTACATGCCTTTAATCCCAGAGGCGGAACTCTGAGTTCAAGGCCAGCCTGGTCTACGGAGTTCCAGGACAGCCAGGGCTACACAGAAAAAAACGGAATATGCCAATAGGATATTACTTGCAATTAATTAATAGTACTTGTAATTGGCTAAAAATACTTCCTCTGAGCCTCTCATTCTTTTTCGATGAACACTGCTATATGGATAAAGTAACTAGAAAATTGTTTTTGGAATATGTGACAATTTTTTTTTAATATTTTCATCAAGCAGCCACTGGCTACAGCTGTGTTTTTATTGCATTACAAAGTTTGACTAACTTCACACATTTAAAAAATGCTGATTGTTTTCATTTAAATTATAAATACATATTTTCTGACATCCACCTTTATATATTTCTATTATTTAAAATGTAAGAAATGAAAAATCGCTATTAACAATAAAAAATTTTAAGGTAGTAATGTTTCAGGGTCAACTCAAAATGTCTGATTTTCGAATGTCTAACCCTTTTATATATACTGGTTTTTAAAATAGAAAACAGTATTTCAAAGCCAACATGCCTATGATTCTACTACCACTTGGGAACTAGAAGCAGAAGCATAGTGAGTTTGAGGTGACACAGTGAGTTCAAGGTCAGCCAGAGGCTGTAGTCAAGACTGTCTCTGAAAGTGGCAGGGAGGAGAGAGACAGAAGAGGAGCTATAAATTGAGAGGATGCCTTGACTCAGTAGTAGGCTGTACTTTGTTACTAAGTTAATGGATACAGTAGTAAAAGTTACTTTTTAGGAATACCACATTAACACAGTATAAAAATCATACTTCCCGGTTCCCTTTTTAAATTGCTTTTTGTTAAAAGCATGCTGTTTGTGCAATTGTAGGTTTAACAGGAAAATTGGGCAAAATAATTATTAAATCCCTCTTCCTCCCTGTTCCTCATACTTACATTGATGTGGTAACTTGTTTCAGTCAGTAGGCAATATCGATACATTGTTATTAACCAAAGTCCATCTGAGGTCTCCCTTGGTTGAGTTGTAAGTTTTTAGGAATATTTGTATATATCTACCCCAAAAGTGTCCTAGCCAAGTAGTTGATTTCACTGCTTTAAAAAATCTTTCCTGATGTACCTGCTCTGCCTCCCTCCATTCCCAGCCCTAGCAAGGACTGGCCTTTTCTAGAATGTCTCATTGTTGGGCCATAAAGAAGAGAGCCGTCTCAGGCTGGTTTCTGCTCCTTGGGCTTTGCAGGTGTGTGTCTCAATGGAGCAGCTTCATCCTTAGCTTAGTACTGGAAGGGCCAAACAGGCCAGGGTAGTGGCAGTTAGTAATTTAGGTTGTCTCTTTGTTTTGTTTTTTAATGTTTTTAGTTTTGCTTGCTTTTTTCATTTGTTTTATTAAATAACTGTGTGTATCGTATATATATAAATACATGTTTGTGTGTGTGGAGGTCAGAGGTCAATGTCTGTGTGTAATATATGTGTGAGTCCATGTTTGTGTGTGTACCTGTGTATGGAGGCCAGAGGTCGATGTCTGTGTGTGTAATATATGTGTGAGTACATGTTTGTATGTGCCTGTGTATGGTGGTCAGAGGTCTATGTCTGTGTGTGTAATATATGTGTGAGTACATGT